AGAACCGTGGCCTACTGTACAGTCGCATAGTCTGTATATTCATATGCATACGTCGGTAGGGGGGTCATCGCGATCAAAGATATATAAGGAGTTGCGGCAGAAAGTTCCTCTCGAATGGCATCCCGTAAGGACGTACATGTGACTGGAGTAGTTTCTTCAAGTGATTTGGAACGGTCAGGAAATATTTGATCGAGCTCTTTCTTGATGAGGTCACGAATGATTGTGCGAATGCTTTCGGTGATGGGTATCTGCAGACCCGACGACGGGGCAGCGTGTCTGAGGTGGTTGCTGGAATCCTGGCTCTTTGGGTTTCGTTCAGGCGATAACATGCTTGTGTGATGCTTTTCACGGTGTGGGAGTCCCGAGTCATGAGGTATTAGAAACCGTCTTCGGATATTCCTTTAAATATAGGCCCAACCTTGCCCGCCTCTGACATCGTTGGATTGGCCAGTTTATAAAGAGCAAGAAAGTTTTCTATGTAAGTGACGTAGTCCTTGTCGGGATCTTGGGCACGGTAAACGAGACGTCCCTCGGCCACTTGTTTGCGCTGAGCAAAAAGCCCAGAAACCCCCAGAAACTTCTTGATTTGATCCCAAAAGGCGAAGGCGTATTCGTTGTTATTATACCATGTCACGCTGTGTCTTTTAATGATTAACGTTGGCGACTTTTAGCGTACCGCTAAAAGTCGCCAACGTTAGCGATTAGCGATTAACGTTGGCGACTTTTAGCCCGATAATAGCCGCGTAGCCATTCAACAACGTCTTGGGTGGCTGTGCCGGAGGACAATGGAGGATCACGTTGGCGGCAGGTGACAGTGGACGGCGTTAGACCAGACTGAGTTGGTGTGGTATGGGTGGACTGCGGTGTTTGTATCCGAAAGTAGCTGCAGATGCAGCTGGTGACCGGATCTTAGTTCCATGTCGGATTGGCAACCTTGGAGTAGGGGATCGTAGCACTTCCACCACATAAAATGGTGTAAAAATTGGTAAAATTACTAAGATGACTTGGCAACAACGTCTAGTCAGTTGGGTATTTTATTGCAGTCTATTAGAATACGGGGTAGTGTTTGGACCGGCGCGGCTCGGCAATGGGAGCTTAGCTTGTGAGGCTGCGTGTGTAGAGAGCAATCGCGGCGCTGCAGTCGACAGGGCATCAGAAAGTCGCTGCAGTTCGCACGTGTCGCCGCACGTGCCCGTGCACGCGGTGCATGCTCACAACCACCACCATAATAACCCTACTGACTATTCGCCGGTGTTGACACCTAGGGTGCCTTGATGTGCGCTTTGCTTGGGGTGGAGACATCTGGCCATTTTGTTTCACACTTTTATTTTTATTTTTTGTTCAGAAGCGCGTGAAAGAACGTGTCCCTGCACGCGCTCGTGGCGCTGACTGTGCTACGGCGACATTTTATTCTCGTCGATTTCTTTGTATTTTACCCGTGAGCGCGTGCTGTCGGCATCGGGTACTACAAAGGGTGGCATCACCCTAAACAGAAGGACATTGAGGCACCCTATTGACACCTATCGCGATGTACACCGCACGCCTCACGCGAGCCGCTCCGGTCCCAACACTACCCCGTCTTCTAGTACACCGTAGTTGTATTTACGACCCACTTCATCTTTTTTTTTTCGGCGTTTACCTCGTCGTTCTCTACAACAGGAAAGCATGCGATTACAATGCAACAGTAACAATATAATGATATCTTGCCAAAATTTATTTCAGGATATTTGCTGCCCACTTCAAGCAACGACTTGAAAATGCCCCATAAGTAACTTCATGTACGGCCATCACCAGCATTTTGATTCCAATTTCAAACAAATATCCGAGTTTGGCTATGAATAGCCCAATCGGCTAACCATGTCACAACACGGTCAAGGGGACGTAAAAAAAATCATGGTCAAAATTATCCCTTACAAAATTGTCCAGGACAGTATTGCGCACCGAGATGAATCTTAGCTATGTTTGGATTCGGTCATCTTTCCCACGTGTCGTACAATTTCGCCCTGAAAGTGGATGCTATTGCCAGTTAAGCATATATGTATATATATATATATATATATATATATATAACAAAGCAACCTAGTAAAACATTGATCACGGAAGACAAATCTACTAGCGTGAGCTAGCCCGTGTTCCTAGCTTCGAGACGTGGATTTCTAACGCGAATGCTCGCTTGGCGAAATAACTTTTCAAGGCAGCAACCTCGTGCTTTCGTGTTTGTGGCATTGGCTGCATGGAGTCTCAGTTGTGGATGGATTATAGGAAGTATTCACTGGTGGCCATAGCTCTGTTTGAGCTGTGTGCGCGGCTGCTGAGCGCGTGCTGACGCGAGCTTCCACAGTTCTGTAGCAACGTGCATTCCGCATCATCAAGATTGCCGGTCTTAGCAGGCTATTAATGTGCGCTCGTTCTGAGCATCCGCTCTAAACATCGCCCTCAAATATGGCCTCCATTGAATACACCAATTAAGGGGTATTCACACGAGGGAGAATCCTCGGGATTTCTCCACGTCACGCGCATCGCGCGACGAAAACGTCATGCTTTGCGATGTGCAGAAGCCTCGCGTTTTTGTCTCCTGATGCGCGCGCGCCGGGGAGAAATCCCCGGGATTTCTTTCTCGTGTGAATACCCCTTCGGCAAGATGAGGTTTTGGTAGCGCCCTCCTATGGCTTCCTCTCGTGACGTCATTACTTGGCGAACAAGTTCGATGGTGCTTTTAATTAGCGTGGTGGAAGCCTAAAATCATGGCACTCTGAAACCAACACTACCGAATTTTCCATTACTCTTATTTCCGTCTATGAGAAATCCTTTCTTGACGTCATAGTCAGCATTCAGCCAATCGTGACAGGCCGACCACAGCGACGCTTTCGATCGCGCATGTAGCCAATATAGACCTTTCCAAAAAAAAAGGACTTCTGGCAATACCAGCTATAAGACAAGGCCTGCGCGTGACATTTTGTTAATATACCCCGACCCATCCCAAGCGGCAAACAGGCTGAAGCATGACAAGAGTATGGGCTGCGTGCGGCCGCGACTGCTGAGCGCGAGCCACGAGCGAGCTTCCACAGTTCATTTGCAACGTGCATGTGACAGCATCAAGATTGCCGGTGTTAGCAGCCTATTGGTGTGAGCTCGTTCTGAGCGTCACCGCTGAAGCAGGTCATGAAGCAGACGATGTCGCAGACAATGTTGCTCATCCGGGCTACCTAGGGGGCGCTGAGGGGATCTACCAGTGATGACGTTTAGAGGAACAAACGCGCAGGCCTTGTCTTCTAGGCGGTATTGCTCCTGGCCGGTTCTATTTTGCAGTGTTCGCGTGTATGGCGCGTGATTTTCTCGCTTTCCAAAGTGACGAACGTCCGCATGCTGGGCTGAGGAGATCGCATGCTGGGCTGGGTTGAAGAATTGTAAATATTGGAGTCGGCCCCGATGAAGGGTCAAAGCGCTCTCGTGACGCGCGCTGCACTGGTTGCGTGCTCTCGTGTCGCGCGCTCTAATAGTATGCGCTTTCGTGCCAATGCGATCTCGTGTCGCGAGCTCTAATCGTACGCGCTCTCGTTTCACTGCGCTCTCGTGTCGCGAGCTCTCCTGCCGGAGTTCTCGCGTCGTGCGCTCTCGAGGCGCTCTCTCGATTCTCCCTATGCATCGAGAAACTGAGGTAGAGGGGGAGACGAGAGCGCGCGTGGACTTCAAAACGCCGAGCTCTGGTGGGAATGATTAGGGGTGGACCTAAAGCTGGCAGCCTTTGTCTCCACTGCACTCGTCGAATAACGCGTTCGAGCGCGGAACGCGTAGGCCCGGCGTTTGGCTTTCGCATTTGAAAGCGTTCGACGAGTGCAATGGAAGCAAAGTCAGCCTTCGACTTTACTGCACTCTTCGCACGCGTTAGAATGCGGAACGCCGGCGTCCGGCGCTTGGCTTCCGCGTTCTTAACACGTTCGACGAGTGCAGTGCAGACAAAAGCAGCATTGCTCTATCCGGAGTGCAAGTTCGTCTGCATCTTGCACAGGAGTTGCGATGATATCAGAACGCCGAACTCTTACTGGCTGATTGAAAACAATAGAGGGTAGACTTCAAGGCATCTAGCATTGAGGCCTACCCACTATCCTTTCAATTAAAGCCAATCAGAGCTCGGCGCTGTTGTGACGTCACCGCAACTCCGGCGCAAGAAGCAGACGACTTGCTCTACGCATATATGTCTAGCCATTAATCACTCGAACCAGAGCTCGGCGTTCTGACGTACTCGTGCTCTTTCGTCTCCTCCTTTCCCTCAGTTGTTCGGCGCATAATTATTAAGGTTCAGGGCATAAATACAAGAATGAGTATCGAAACATCAATAGTTCAACAATGCGTATTACGGATGGTCTACACAACGTACAGTTTTTACACACATACATTTGCAGGTAGTTCTACGCATGAATTAAATTCGACTGCTGCAATTTTTGTGCCAAGCAATACACAAAAAAGTTGAGAATTAAGCTGTCTCGCTATACGTTGTCATTCGAAACATAGAATTAGGAGAGCGTGTTGGTTAATCATCTTGGTATGCGAACGTAAAAGGAGACAAGGAACACACAAAAACACGTCAGTCGCGGTCTGTGTCTGAAGTGTTTTGCGTGTCACTTGTCTCGTGCGTTCGCATATCAAGAAGTAATTTTAAGGTTGGTTGAAATTTACGAAGCCCTGAAATACATTAATGCGCAAACCTCTGATAAACGGGTTCCCATCACAGACTAAAGAGCAGCTTTACAAGCCCGCCAATCAATAATGAAACATAATGTATATTTCCCCTTCGTCAGTGCAACCACATGCTTGCAAAAAAACATGCAGGCCGGTCCCGATTTTATTTTTACATCAGTGGGTTCCTGGTCACGTTCTTTTGCTTCAATGGGTTTATGGTCATTGTGCTATCACCGGTAATGTGAGCGCTGGCAAAGCCACAAGAAGCGCTTACAAAAACATTACAAACGTTGGGATCGCATACCTCTGAACAGATGCTTCATCGGCAATTCGTCAAGCAGCCAAGCAAGTGACATCGAACATCTGGGGTTGTTCTGATTTCTTTCCTTTCATGTTTGCCTGTAAGTAAATTGGGGTGTATGTTTAAACACCCTGAACTTAGTCTGCCTCAACGGGCGGCTTGTCTCTCAGCTGTCGACGAGCGAGATTTAGCCAGTGCGGTACAACCGCTAGCCTGGGGTTTTGACGTGCACAACGCAGTAGCGATACACGCCTGCCCGCCGGTGCGATGCTCGTCCAGATAAAAACGGGCAGGGGTGTGATTGAACTCAGGATCCTTGGGTTCTGCAGCGCGAGCTTTCGCTCCACGTGCTCTGAAATGGTGTGCGTTAGTCCACTTGGCTGCCAATCCACCTCACGTTCGCCTGGACTCTCTGCATCCCAATATAATATCTCAATATCTGAATTGGACAGCTATTTTTCAACCTTTTTATGCTTAGCAGAATCGCACTGTCTAGAAGATCTGTGGAGCATCTTTCGTAATAAAATAACAAACTTAATCGACACTTTTGTACCATCGAGGATTATTCGACAAAAACGAAAACAAAAACCATGGTTTAATATTGAAATTCGTAAACTCGTAAGAAGAGCGCGGTGTGCATATAGAAGGGTTTCCAGAGATGGCTGTCCAATAAACCTGCAAAGGCTAAAGGAAATTAATTACACATTAAAGTTATCTATAAGAAAAGCAAAGAAGTTATTTTTCTCCCGGCTAAACGATGATCTTAAGCGAAATCCCAAAGTGTTCTGGAATTACGTTAAAACAAGTAGAAAAGATGATATTTCTATCCCATACTTAAATGTTAACAATACAATAATCAAGAGTGATGCTGAGAAGGCAGAATGTATTAATTCTTACTTCAAATCAGTATTTTCTCAAGAAACAACCAGCGATGAATCACCAGTATCTGTTATTTCTGGTAACACAATGGCAGATATTGAAATTGATGTTAACGGTATTACTTGCCTCTTGCGTGAAATGAATACCTCGAAGGCAACCGGACCTGATGGATTACCATCGATTGTTCTTTGTAAGTGTCGAGATATTATAGCCCAGTATTTATGTCTCATGTTTAAAATTTCCCTTGAAACTGGGGCAGTTCCACACGATTGGAAGGTAGCAAATGTTATTCCTGTTTTCAAGTCAGGGGATAAAAAACTTGTAGAAAATTATAGGCCTATATCTTTGACGTCAATTAATTGCAAATTGTTGGAACATATTATATATAGTGAAGTTTTTGATTACCTGGAATCCTGTAAATTTCTTGCCCCTTCCCAGCATGGCTTTCGCAGAGGGTGTTCATGTGACACACAACTGGCAGAATTTCAACATTACATTTCAAAATCACTTGACAGCAATACTAATGTAGATGCAATTTTCCTTGATTTTCGTAAAGCCTTTGATACTGTACCACACCACCTACTACTGAAGAAATTAGCATCTTTAAATATAACTAACAATATTCAAAAGTGGATAAAAAATTACTTAAGTGGCCGAGAGCAGTGCGTGGTTTTAAATGGTAGCAAGTCATTACCTATAACTGTGAGTTCAGGAGTACCCCAAGGCAGTGTCTTGGGACCATTATTGTTCTTAATTTATATTAATGATATTGTCACGAATGAAGGTGACGAAAAGCCGAACAGTGAACTGAAAATAAAAATTTAATGGGCGAACTTGTGCCAACCAAAAATAAATAACGAAAGAGCGTCGAGGTAGCAGAAAAGCGGGCGGCGGTTCGGCGGCACACAGAGCGCTAGCGAAACTGGGACTGACTCGACAAGGTCGCGGGCAGCTGCTTATCTACCGTGCGTCACTATCTCGAAAGTTCGGCAAAGAAGGTTCGAGCGTCGCGCGCTCGGGGCGAGGATGAACTGGCACTTTCGAGAATAACAAAGCAGAGGGAAAGTTACGTCTGCTGCGAGGATGACCGGGAATCTTCTAGAAGACCGTGACCGAGCGTTGCCTTCTCGGCTCTGCGGGCGGCATTATCCCCCCCTTTAAAAGTGCATCGCCCCGATGCGAAACGAAAGGAAAACGGAAATTGCTAAAACAATTGCGGCGAAACAAAACAAACATGCAGTGTCACAATCCTAACGCGCGTAGAACGGCTTGAGTCGAACTACGTGGACGACCTCGGATCGTGGCTGGCGGCGTCCTGATGGGCGAGTTCCGTCGGGGAGCACCTCGTAGTTCAAGTCCCCAAGGCGGCGGATAACCTTGTAGGGTCCAAAGCAGCGTTTTAACAGTTTCTCACTAAGGCCGCGGTGACGAATGGGCATCCACACCCACACCCTGTCTCCGGGCTGGAACTCCCCGTCTCGGCAACGAAAGTTGTACCGGCCAGCTTTGACACGTTGCTGGTCTTTTATGCGAAGGCGGGCTAGCTGGCGTACTTCTGCTCGTTGGGTGACCAACTAAGCATCGTCGGTGCCATCATTTGTCGGTGCTGTCGTTCGTCGGTGCTGTCGTTCGTCGGTGCCGTCATTCGTCGGTGCCGTCGTTCGTCGGTGCCGTCGTTCGTCGGTGCCGTCGTTCGTCGGTGCCGTCGTTCGTCGGTGCCGTCGTTCGTCGGTGCCGTAGTTCGTCGGTGCCGTAGTTCGTCGGTGCCGTAGTTCGTCGGTGCCGTCGTTCGTCGGTGCCGTCGTTCGTCGGTGCCGTCGTTCGTCGGTGCCGTCGTTCGTCGGTGCCGTCGTTCGTCGGTGCCGTCGTTCGTCGGTGCCGTCGTTCGTCGGTGCCGTCGTTCGTCGGTGCCGTCGTTCGTCGGTGCCGTCGTTCGTCGGTGCCGTCGTTCGTCGGTGCCGTGAGGCATCACGGCGTCGAGCATCGTCGTCACCTTTCAGCCGTGCACCAACTGAAAAGGTGAAAACCCACTGGTTCCTTGAACCGCCGTGTTGTACGCAAACGTGATGTAGGGCACCACCTCATCCCACGTCTTGTGTTCCACGTCCACATACATCGAGATCATGTCGGCGATGGTCTTGTTTAGTCTCTCCGTCAGCCCGTCAATCTGCAGGTGGTATGCCGTGGTCCGGCGGTGGTCGAGGTCTGCGACGTCTGGGGGTCCATCGTTGACCTCGTTGGTTGCTTGATCTTGGTTGGCAGAAATCCGAGTTCCGGGTTAGCTCTTGGTTGCGGCGACTTTATCGGGTCTTGCTTGTGTCTTCGTTGGGTCTTCGTGGGCTTGGTGTTGGACTTGCACTGCGGGCCCTCGGAGGAGTACGGTGCAGGGACATGCGTTACCCCGCACCTCCACCAGAAATGTCACGAATGAAGGTGACGAAAAGCCGAACAGTGAACTGAAAATAAAAATTTAATGGGCGAACTTGTGCCAACCAAAAATAAATAACGAAAGAGCGTCGAGGTAGCAGAAAAGCGGGCGGCGGTTCGGCGGCACACAGAGCGCTAGCGAAACTGGGACTGACTCGACAAGGTCGCGGGCAGCTGCTTATCTACCGTGCGTCACTATCTCGAAAGTTCGGCAAAGAAGGTTCGAGCGTCGCGCGCTCGGGGCGAGGATGAACTGGCACTTTCGAGAATAACAAAGCAGAGGGAAAGTTACGTCTGCTGCGAGGATGACCGGGAATCTTCTAGAAGACCGTGACCGAGCGTTGCCTTCTCGGCTCTGCGGGCGGCAATATTGTAACTGACATTCAATCGCCGATTAAGTTGTTTGCGGACGATTGCGTTGTTTATAGACAAATATATTCAACAATGGACATAGAAATATTGCAAAGCGACCTAGATAAAATAGAACACTGGTGTGATAAGTGGAAAATGAGTTTAAATATTGGAAAATGTAATTATCTCAGCTTCACAAAAAATGTATCAAGGTCTCCCGCCAGCTATACCATTAAAAATGCAATAATCCGCAGAGTAAGCGACTGTAAATACTTAGGAGTTAATTTCACCCAATCACTTAAATGGCACAATCATATTGACTATACAATAGCAAAGGCAAGCAAAATGTTTTATTTTATCCGGAGGAATTTTAAGGGCGCTTCAACAGAGGTGAAAGAAACTCTTTATATTTTGCATGTTAGGTCGATAATCGACTATGCATGCATCATTTGGGACCCATACCAAGATTATCTTATCGAAAAATTAGAAAAGGTACAGAATCAAGCGGCACGATTTGTCAGCAATAACTATAACCCTTATGCAAGTATCTCTGAAATAAAAGCCATGCTGGGATGGGAATCATTAAACACTAGAGGGTATAAGTTAAGGTTGAAGTTTTTTCATCGGATTTATTATAATGAAACTGGCATTGATAGAAATGAGTATTTGTATAAACCAAGTTACATGTCAGCGCGGTTCGATAACTCTGAAAAGGTTTTTGAGTACTGTTATAAAACAAACAATTTTGGTAGTTCTTTTTTGTTCAAACAATCAAAGACTGGAACCTGCTGCAACAGGAGCTGGTCAGTATCTCAGACAATGATGTATTTTTTTCTTGTTTGTGAAAATCACTGTTATTTGTTATTTCGTGATCCCCCCCCTACGATAATGCCCACGAGGCGATGTAGGTATTCTGTAAATAAATAAATAAATTGAAATACGACCTCCCTCGTTGAGCAGAAACCACAATCCACAAATTACGTCTTAAAACAACTTCCACAGAACTTTTTATATATATAAAGTTAAAAAAGAAGAAAACTTTCAGCCTGTCCACTTTGCTGAAAAAGGAAGACCAGCGGAGCTGTACAATGGAAAGTAATGGCCGGCCGCAAGTCGGCAAGCCAGAGTGGAAAGGTTGTTGCCATCTATGAGCGACGGCGGCAACCAGATACGTGGCTTGCCGCCGTCGCTCATAGATGGCGGTAGGTGTCCAGAGTTCGGTGTCTTCATTTTTTTTGCGAAGGACACAATCCTGGGGGAACTAGCCCTTAACAGCTCCGCTGTAAAAGCTACCAGTACGAACTGTCCAGCGTGATATACAGTCTGGAAATCAGAACACCTCTTCATTGTATGTACTCTTCACGCGACTAAAAGACAGGCGCTTGAGACGGCACTGTCAATCAAGGATAATAGGCCATTATCCACCGAGAAAGTACTTGGCGGCTGGGACTCATTTCAATGCTCTACAAAAAGGACAAACATATTGATCCCATTTTTTCGAGACACGACTGGCACTGACCCTGTAAAGTGTAAGGTAATGTTACTATAATCATCTCATCGTCGTCCATCTACCCTTCCCCAGATCATTTCATCTTGCCAATCCTTTCCTCCCTATCTTCTGCTACCTGGCGTATTGGCGACTGCAGCGAAATTGACGGCACTAAGCGGCTAGAACCGAAAGCCGTGGCGGCAGGTTCACTGTCTGGCCTTCCCAGAGCGATTCTCATATTCACAGCGCCTGGCGGCCAAACATGAAACCGTGAAAGTAAGTTCAAAAACACGTGATAAAAATCGGCAATATAGAGTAGTCTGCAAGAGTCATGCACTCATGCTAACCTCTTCGCATTGCAATCATCTCCTTCCTACCTCTTTCTTTCTGTCCCTTCTTCTCTGGCAATCACCTCAGAGTCAGTATTCTAACTCTGAATTTGGCTCTTTCGTACAGTCCATCCCATATATGTTCTTTACTCATTTCCTATAGTTCGCGTGCAACGCTCTCAAAACTACTGACTCGACCACCAGGCTTCAGCCGTTGTCAAAGGGCGCAAAAGTGGTCCTCCCCGAGGCCATGCGCAAGCGAATACTCAATCGAGTTCATGAAGTCTTTTTTGGTTGGGAGCAGGTGGAGTGCTGCATCTCCAATGCCTGCACTTGAATTATGATGGTTCCAGGCAGCCTCTTCAGAGCACTTCCCCCTAGGCGGCCAAGCGGCACAGAACTCACCGATGTTGAAGTGCATACATTGAAGATGCAGCACAGCCTGGTAAATGAAGCAACTAGGAGTCAATATGTGTGTTAAACTGTCGGGACACTGTCCTCCCGGAAGTGATTAACTGTCTCCGAGCAAAGCTTCCTGTTCAGGGAGCTTTGCCTCTCAGCACAGCCACGCACGCCCTTCCATCGTTCAAGGTTTTAAGCATCGCAACAGTTACACCTGTAGCGTGTCATTTCCACGAGAGCACGTGAAGATCAAGCGCCAGATCAAGACAGATGACCAGCAGCTTTTACAGCGTTCTACACTATATCTCAGGAGTTGTGTGCAGCAAAGGAAAAGGCTTAGGCGCGGATACATAAATTTCACATTAGCTTTCATTTCGTGAGTGCTCGTGAAAGGAAAGCAAATCTCATAGCCACACGCTTGCGCCAATGCTTTTCCCTCTGCTGCAGGCAACTGAAAAGATGGAGAAGTACCAAACGGAGTACCGGGAACAGGCCCAGCTGGATTACACAAATTGTTTAAAATATTAATTTGACGTATTATACTATTTAACAAAAAGCGAATCGTGCACCTGAATGACATAATCAATGTTTTTATTAAAAAATAATATTGATCGTAAGCAGCAGGCACGAAACAGTATTTTATTATTTTTTTTTTGTATAAAGATCTTTTATCATCAACGCCGGGGAGGGGACATCAGCAATATTGAATATGCCGTTATTGTTTTCTTAGATAACTTTTCCATGGATCGAGTGTCATACGCTTTTTTTTCGATCACGTAATCTCCAGTCTTTACGCCTTTCTCTCCCCATCTCTCCCAGGTTCAAAATATTGTACTTGTTTTTTTTTTCTTTATGAAGAACTAAAATTTAAAAAGCTCGGCTCCTCGCGAAGCCTTCCTTTAATGTCATGAATTCAGATGGTTATATGTGCATTAAGAATAAGTTACGTGATTTCATCAAAGCATACCCGTTGAAACGTAAACAGCATCGTTTTAGCTTTGCTCTCACATTCCAATATCAGTAGGAATATTTCGCGCAGCATAGAAACTATGGGCCACGCTTTTTTTCTTCTTGGTGTGACAGCGAATATATGTTGAAGGAATGTCTGCATGCCTGTGCTATACGCTCTTGCAGTGGCAGCCCGCTATGGCCGAACCAACAAGACGGACTGGCTCGGTAATAGAGGACAGATTTATTAATTTGACACGTACGTTCTTACTCCTTGTATATGTGCAAAGCACAAAAACCAAAACGCAATAGTGATGTGACACTGACGCTCGATTTGTAATGCTACGTCACGCGTGAGCACATCAAGTTACAACAGCCTGACAGTAATTTACGGCTTTATAGTAAAACACTAGAAATAGTACATAGTTGACATGTCCTTTGTGTTAAGTGTGAAGAACATGTTCCTATATAAAGTAGGGCTGGGTGCGATTAAAGTTTTTAACCAGATTAATCACCACCCTTGAATCGATTAGTTAATCGATTAATGGGTCTCGTTCATTTCCATGCATCATATTTTTAAGAAGTCAAAATTATGTTTGTCTGTTTGTTTTTGCCTTTGTGGTAAATATGATGAACGGCGCAATATACACTATTGACTATAAATCAACCTCGATGTGTAGTCGAGAACAATTTAAAGACACTCACACTCACAATTGATTACTTCAGCCGCATGAGGCAGAGAGGTTCGTTGATATTTTCCGGCTACAGCGTCCCACCCTGATTGTTCACAATAGTCTCTGCTGTGCTATAAACGGACACTCGAGCGGCGTTGAAGTGGCCGGGACGCGTGTAACCTTCTGCACCCTTGCCTGGAATACAAACCTTGCCCCTACAGTTTGCCTTAGCTTAAAATTTCACCTAAAGTTTGCCCTTCATAGAGGTTTACTGGTCCACGCCTGCGTAGTGAAAGCGTTTGTTCCTGTCAACTTTCTTCTGTCCCTTCTAACTTATCTTCAAGCTTCCTTCCCAGTTTAAGGGTTTAAACATCATGATTGATTTTTACTTTATTTTGGTCCGTCAATAATTTAACGATTAACCGGTTAAAAATTATTCTCGATCAAAGCGTTAATCGATTGTGGTCACTGTTAATCAATCAATGGCCCAGTCCTAATATATAGGCGTATAATTAATGGGCTTTCTCTAAAATCCGATATATAGGTTACGTGACAATGTGCAGCACAGACCGTAAGCGTAACTTCCTTGACATCCTTGCAACGCCGGCAGTGTGCGCGTGCTGCAGATACATATTTACCTTGAGCGTCGCTTGTTTTCGGCCAGACGAACGGAGCTTATTGTCGTCTTGCGTGTCGTCATCCGCACGATCGATTGGTCGTCCGTCCCTCTACTCCTCCTTTCCAGCGAAGCGGCCAGACAAAAGCCCGCAATCGATCTTCGGTCCATCCATCATCCAAAAAAGAAACAAAAACAAGGAAGGAACATACTCAATGAGGCTATCTCTCTTCTGGGACCTGGGCATCTCAAATTCTCTAACATTCATTAATACTAAATCTAAAATTGGCTTGCAGAAAAAAAAAAAAAAAAAGCCTCAGTGAGCGTTTGCAGTGCTGCGACGATCCCAACTTGCGGAGACTCTGGAGGATACTCCACGTTTCGGTGTCTACGACTCTTCTATCTTAAAATTCAACTTCGCTTCCTGTTGTTGTTTTTTTCTTCCAGTTTTGGGGACCGCGTAAATAAATGAACAGAAAGCTCGAGCGCGACCGGGCTATCTGCACCCGTGGAACGGGCCAAGGAAGCGGAGACGCCAGACACGACGCGGGGGGAGAAAGGTTCGGATATCGGGAAGTGGAGAGGGAAAGAAATGGAAAGAGATGGAGGAGAGAGAGCGCGTTCCCTACTCCACCAGCTCGCGCTCCAACGGCCAAGTATTGACGTTCTATGTGGGCTACTGGGTTATGAGGCGGGAAGAGGGAGGAAGGCCAACCGCCCCCCGCCCTGGGCGACCTCCCATTGGTGCGTTCTCAATTGGCGTCATTTTTCTGTCTTTCGGGATTTTTTTTTTAACACTTTTTATCTTTCTTTTAGTCAGTTTTCGACGTCACCAGAAGCTGACATTTCGGGGTGGAATCTTTTTGCTTTATTTTTATTGTGTCTGTGGGAGGAAAGCGGTAGTTTCTCCCTATTTTGGAGTTTGGCTCTGCTCCTGTTTTTGTTTCCCCTTTCATGGGGGAGCACGGGCACGGGATATCCCTTTTGGCTTCGGGGTGGTGGCTCGAAGATTGTATACTTTTTGCTCGTTCGTAGTTTGTTTTTATGCCGTGGTGAGGGAGAAGGAAGAACGGGAAGGAAAGGAAAAGAGCGAACGAACTCGGTCGGTTCAGCGCAGGCATTGCCGCAGGTCAGTTTGGATTTTTCACGCGAACGGATTATTACACTGAGACGCCGCAGTTCGGTTTTCGAACGGAGCAAAGTCTGGCAACGTGAGTCGGGTTTTCGTCGGGATGGGTGGTGCGTTTGAAGAGCACGTGTTGCATGGTGGATGTGTTGTGGTCGTGGCCGTTGCTCTCCGTGGGAACTGCGTGTTGTCGTGTGTTTGCGCGCGCGTGCATACAACCAGAAATGAGATTAGGCCTAGTAATTTTCGTTGTGCTGCCATGCCGTTTTCGTGTTTTATCCTGAATGTCGTGATCCTTGTGGATGCTTAAGGTCTAGAATGTTGGTTGAGGAATGCCTTACTGGGAAAGTCGTTTTGTTTGGTGGTGTGGTTTACGTATACGTGTACTGTCGTGATTTGTTAAAGTGTGTGTGTGTTTTTCTGAGTGCGTTTTGAATAACTGCGACATTAAAGTATACGTTCATTTGTGTTTATTTAAATTCGTCTGCAACGTGTTTCTGTTTCGTGTTTGGTTGTGTGTGTACTGTTTGTTTTCCTTCCTTTTGCACATTTGACCCTTCAAAGGTAAGTCGAAAAAAGCGCTCTGCGAACAAATTTTTTTGTTGTGGTGTTGTTGACCTGACCACATTCTGAACTATTCGTACATATTGAAAATATTACAAACCTCAAACCCGAACCGGGACAAGGGATATCCGTACAAAAGCAAGTTCAATATGGCAATTAGTCTCGCACACGTTACTCTAAAAAAAGAAAGAAAGCTATTATAAATACATTTATTATTTGTTTAAAAATATTAATTAGATTACTTGATTGCTTAAAAAGAGAAGCAAATTGCCCTTTCCTTAACAAGCAACCGTTACTTTTCCGATTTGTTCCGATTTTCAGAACGACAGATTTTTCCACATGTTGGAAAATGGGTCGTTCGTGCTACCCATTATTGCATTAATATCACCAAGTTAAAACCTACCTATATTCTTAATTCACGAGTTTTGGTAAACCTTCCTTCTTTTGGAGACTTGGTTGGAAGATTTCCTGGTTGGAAACTTGCAGAAACAGAGGCCGCCATTAGAAATGGGAGTGGGAAAAAGTCACGGTTACAAGTACTTTTAGCACTTCCAAAAGTAATCAATGAACGTGATTCCAAAGTCAACGATCGTGATTCCATGAAAGTCACTTACTCCTAGCGTGCATGCATCAGTGCAACGCGTCAATGATCACATACACCAAAACATTAGACTAGAAAGGTGACAGACGGTTGCAGTTACGTCTTAATTAGAACTGGATGAATAGACATTTTTAAGGACAAACAGCGCAAAAGAGTTAATGAAAAGACGAGAAAAGCACTGTGGTGTGCTGGCCTTCCCTTTCTTCCTATCCTCTGTGCTGCTTCATTTTTAATGATGACCTCAAGATGGAATACAAGGTGTCTCACCAACGACTGAGAATTATAAGAAAAGAGCAATTGCAGTAAAATTATGATTGCATCGGGATAACATTATTAACCGCGGCGAACGTCAAACTACGAGTGCAAAGTGATAATAACAAATTTCTTACCTGAACTTCACGAAATAACATTTGTAAATATTCGCCATCGCTGTTGCATTAAAATCAGATATACAGGATAACACACTCTGAATATGTGTTTTCAGCTTACGTCGTAGCTTGCGTCAAGAGCAGCATTCACACGCTTTTAATAGAAGTAATTATCACAGTTGTGCTGTTACTCTCTTTCCATTCCAAACTTATTTTATTAAACTCCTATATTGCTGGGTCTCGACGTGTACTGGATTGTCGCGAGGTAACTGTGAAACTTCAACTCGCGCACCACGGAGCCTCGTAATCTGACTTGTCGTTCTTCATGTAGCATGCTTACTTTCTTGTGGTTCCAACTGACATCCAAATGGGTAAAAATTGTAACTTATTTAACCTCTAAATTTTATAGTACCGGTACGTGTATACGAGGCGGAGTTTAAAGCGTTTAAGTTTACATCTGTAGATAAACTATGACATATTAATAACACACCATCATATTACCCGAAAAACGGTTTTAAAGTAAATTATAAATGCAGTAAAATTGTTATTAGGTTTGCCTGGTTTAAATATGATTGATCAATCTTCCCACCGTCTCAGTGTAAAACTGCTCTTTGTTGCCATTTCTGATTGTCGTTGGAGAAGATTCGTGCTTTTAAGGGGAGGAGATGAGGAGATGTTGAAGAAAATCCAGGCCCAGATGCAGATGCAATAAGGGAAATACTGGAAAGCCAGAAAAAGATGGCGGCTAACATATGAACATCGGTACAAGACCAGAAGAGCTTTGAAAAAAATGATTAGAGGCTATTGGAGCCTATACCTCTAAAATAAACGATCTCAGTAGGGAGCGAAACGACACACAAGAAAAACTAGTGCATTTAAAAGCGACCGTAGTAAAGCTTGAGGCAAAGTTTCATGACTTGGAAAATAGAAGCAGGAGAAATAACTTGGTAACCTACGGAGTAGAGGGATCTGACGCAGAAACAGAGCAACATTTGGTGGGAAAAGTGATGGAAGGCTGCTTTAAAACGAAAATAAATGTTGAAGTTAAATCTGTCGAAAGAGTTCACCGTCTCGGAAGGGTGGCTAAGGGTAAACCGAAACAAATAATCTTGCGCTTTGGAAACTATAATGGAAGACAAAATGTTCTTAGAAATGCTAAAAAAAAAATAATAGGAACACGCATATTTATTAACGAGAACTTTTCGAAGAATGTCAGAATGATAAGAAAAAGCGGCGGGAGAGTGCGAAAGAAAATAGGAAAAGGGGAGAGAAGGTATACTTAACGTATGATAAACTGAAGATTAATGGAGTGACGTACGCATGGGAAATAAACACGAACCAGAGAGTTGAAATTTACTTAGCCAGAGAAATACCTTCACCCGAGCATGGTTATTGACAGGCACCTGGTTTACCATAGACAAAAAGTGTCCTATTTATTAGCCTTAATGCGAGCAGTATCGCAAATAAAAACCTCGTGCTAGAACATATTTTAATAGAGCATGACCCCGATGTAGTGGCTATCACTGAAACCTGGTTAGACTTGTTTGTAACAGATGATACAGTAGTACATCCCGGTTATTTGCTCTAGTAGTCAAGTCTTGTTTAAATTCTTCAGAACTCGAAGGAACCCCAGGCATAGAAAATATATGGTGAAACATCAAAAATGGAAATAGAAAAAAGGTGAGTTAATTGAAGAAGTACTGTATCGCTCCCCGGCAAATGCCTTGTGGATATTTGCAAGAACTAAGTGAATTCCTCTTTAAACTGAAAGTAAGTTCCAAGAAGGTTGTTTTTATGGGTAATTTCAATCTCGATGGAATTGACTGGGTAACGTTAGGATCTGGCGACCACGAAGTATAATGCATAGAGGAACTTTTAGATATAGTAATCTCACATAATTTAGCTAAGATTGTTAAGGGACATACCAGGATGCAAGGGCAATCAGAAACTCTTTCGGATTTAATATTTATCAATGAGAACATTATAAACCACGGATATGATTGCAAGATTAATCCCGGAATATCAGATCACAGCGCAGTACATTTTACGTTGTCCTTAAGGGCTATGCTTAGGAGAATTGAAATTACTTCGTATAAAAACTTTGAAAAAGCCAGTGACGAGTCACTTCTTGATCAACTTAGCCTGAACTATAACAACTTCGAGCACCTAGCTGGCAACCCGTTGATAGAAATGGATGACCTATGGCTCATTTTTAAGGAAGTGATGCCTGAGTGCACTTTGTGCCAGTCGAAATAAGAGACAAAAACTTGAACAATCCTTGGATTACAAGGGGCACAATCAACCAGAAGAGACGATAATCAGGGTGTAGAGCAAGAACACGCAAAAAAGCACGACGGGTTTCAGTAGGCAGAAATACAGCCGTTGAGCAAAGACCTCAACGCAAAGATAAAAACTTCGAAAACGAATTTCTTTAATGTAAAATTGCAAAACCTTTTTAGACATTCACCACAGAAGTTTTGGCGACATTTGAAACCAAGTAA